AAGATATGATACTTTAAATCACAAAATGAGATTTGGAGATGTGACGCCTCTCACTGTTTATTTTCATACGCCAGTCTTTCTTCCATTCACAGGTTGTATTCCAGTCTCTTTGTGTTTATCTTCTGCTCTGGACTTTGGATAGTATCGATCTTTCAGGATCGAAAGGGCCTTTCCATGTAGTTAGTCTAGCATTATTTAATTATGTCATCCTTTGAGATTTGCTATTGTTTTACTTGCTTTGTCCTTGTTTTTCCGAGGTAGTAAATAGGCTTAAATTCTGACCATTCCTCTCCGAGTTCTTCAGATAATATTTATGTTCGTTGAGTCTGTCTTTATTGTCGATCCGGTTCTTCTTAATGTATTCATGGATGGTGAACAAAACTTCATTTCTTTCCCTTCTTTTCCTACTTTTAAATTCTTGGTTTCATCATCAGTCAAATAATTTTACATATTTTCGATGTCTCGTTTGATACAGGTGATTGGTTGTTTACGTGCTCAATGGTCCTGTACGCCGTCTCACCAATCCTAGTTTCAAATTCCGAGGGATTGAGATCATAGTTGATGTCCTCTAGAGTGGCATCTATCCTTTCTTGTGTATGAAATGTGTAATGGCTGCAGGTTCCTTAAAAAAACTTTAGTTTAAGTAAGATGCACATCAAAAGGTTGAAGTATACCTGATAGAATCGCATCGCCTTTTCCTTTGCCGTCATTTATGAACGTCAGAGAGTAGACGCAGAGATGTATTTCCTTCTCGAGTAATATAGCTAGATCTGTTTATTGAACTGTTAACTGTTCTAGCCTTGTTATTTTCCGTATTGGGGTTGACATGAGTTTGATTATTACGATTCAAACTACCGTATACCCGCTTATTCTCGTCGGAATTTTCACTTTGTTTATTAACATGATTATGAACATTTAATTGTTTTTGTGGCTTTTTTTTACCTTGGTAGTGTCTTCCCTCGTTCGAGTGGTATCGTTTTGAGAACGCTGGTGTTTAGAGATGATATCTCCTTAATATGTATTCTACTCGACGTAATCATAATTTTCTCATCTTTTAAATTCAGGAAAAACCGGTCGCTGACAATCTCTAACTGCTGGAATTCCGTGGATTGATTTTCCTTATGAATGACACAAGGATGATGTCCATGTACAATTTTAAAGTGACACCAAAATATTCCAATCGACAGCACTTGATAAAAGTCAAAAATATGTGTGGCACTAAGGTTATGTTCATGCGTGGCACTAAGGTTATGTTCATGCGTGGCACCAAGGTTATGTCCATGCGTGGCACCAAGGTTATGTTCATGCGTAGCACTAAGGTTATATTCATTCGTGGCACTAAGGTTATGTTCATGCATGGCAATAAGGTTATGTTCATTCGTGGCACTAAGGTTATGTTCATTCGTGGCACTAAGGTTATGTTCATGCGTAGCACTAAGGTTATATTCATTCGTGGCACTAAGGTTATGTTCATGCATGGCAATAAGGTTATGTTCATTCGTGGCACTAAGGTTATGTTCATGCATGGCAATAAGGTTATGTTCATGCATGGCAATAAGGTTATGTCCATGCGTGGCACCAAGGTTATGTTCATGCGTAGCACTAAGGTTATGTTCATTCGTGGCACTGAGGTTATGTTCATGCGTGGCAATAAGGTTATGTTCATGCATGGCAATAAGGTTATGTCCATGCGTGGCACCAAGGTTATGTTCATGCGTAGCACTAAGGTTATGTTCCTTCGTGGCACTAAGGTTATGTTCATTCGTGGCACTAAGGTTATGTTCATGCGTGGCACTATGGTTATGTTCATTCGTGGCACTAAGGTTATGTTCATGCATGGCAATAAGGTTATGTTCATGCGTGGCACTAAGGTTATGTCCATGCGTGGCACCAAGGTTATGTTCATGCGTAGCACTAAGGTTATGTTCATTCGTGGCACTAAGGTTATGTTTATTCGTGGCACTAAGGTTATGTTTATTCGTGGCACTAAGGTTATGTCCATGCGTGGCACCAAGGTTATGTTCATGCGTAGCACTAAGGTTATGTTCATTCGTGGCACTAAGGTTATGTTTATTCGTGGCACCAAGGTTATGTCCATGCGTGGCACCAAGGTTATGTTCATGCGTAGCACTAAGGTTATGTTCATTCGTGGCACTAAGGTTATGTTCATTCGTGGCAATAAGGTTATGTTTACTCGTAGCACTACGGTTATGTTCATGCATGGCAATAAGGTTATGTTCATGCATGGCAATAAGGTTATGTCCATGCGTGGCACCAAGGTTATGTTCATGCGTAGCACTAAGGTTATGTTCATTCGTGGCACTGAGGTTATGTTCATGCGTGGCAATAAGGTTATGTTCATGCATGGCAATAAGGTTATGTCCATGCGTGGCACCAAGGTTATGTTCATGCGTAGCACTAAGGTTATGTTCCTTCGTGGCACTAAGGTTATGTTCATTCGTGGCACTAAGGTTATGTTCATGCGTGGCACTATGGTTATGTTCATTCGTGGCACTAAGGTTATGTTCATGCATGGCAATAAGGTTATGTTCATGCGTGGCACTAAGGTTATGTCCATGCGTGGCACCAAGGTTATGTTCATGCGTAGCACTAAGGTTATGTTCATTCGTGGCACTAAGGTTATGTTCATTCGTGGCACTAAGGTTATGTTTATTCGTGGCACTAAGGTTATGTCCATGCGTGGCACCAAGGTTATGTTCATGCGTAGCACTAAGGTTATGTTCATTCGTGGCACTAAGGTTATGTTTATTCGTGGCACCAAGGTTATGTCCATGCGTGGCACCAAGGTTATGTTCATGCGTAGCACTAAGGTTATGTTCATTCGTGGCACTAAGGTTATGTTCATTCGTGGCATTAAGGTTATGTTTATTCGTGGCACTACGGTTATGTTCACGCATGGCACTAAGGTTATGTTTACTGTCAGTGTCTTATTATAACGGTCGCCCGACTTGCTCGGTCAGGCATAAACATCAACAGTGTGTGGTTGGGTCAGTCGAACTTACGACAGTCCATCACGGTCAAATAAACACATTTAAATGCGTTTGAAATAATACTGACCACTATAACATATAACTAATATAAACTAAATATGCCGTCAGCTACTTTTATATATCAACTTACTACAACCATTTAAATCCACCTTGTCTGTATTCACGCTCACTTTCAATTTGGCCACCATAACCTCAGGTGACGAGGTATGGTCTGACGCTTCCTACCTGTAGTAGCTTTTATCTCTCAGGAAAATAAGCAACAAGTTTGTATGTGTCATGGTGGAGTCCATAGTCAAGATACTTTACCCTCATTACTCTGGATAGCATGCGGTGGACCTGCAGTATTTTGTTCGGTGAGGAAGCCACCATTTATTTCAAATATACATCGCCTCAAAATAATCCTGGTTGTTCATGTGTCGATATACCCAGCCAAAAAAACAAAACAATCAAATCACGTATATCCTCAATATACATATTTCCTCAAAAATTGATAGAGTTACTGTATGTTTTTCGAAATAATATTATCCTGTTGATATCCAAACACTTAAGATAAACAACTGCATGATACTGTCTAATATCATATTATATTATATACCTATGAGCATACTAGTTCAAAACATTGTTCTGTATGAATCGGTTCGGAATACTGTTATAAGTTTTAAAATACGTCACAATCTATACTACTATCAAAATTGATAAAACTTTAATATAAATTAACATACGTGGAAGATAATAATGATACACGGTCGTATTTGTACTCCTAAGTTAAACACATAGTGGCGCTATTCAAGCTAAGGCTATATACTGTATCGACACACATCGACAATTTTCAATGGTACATTTAAATGGAAAGATTCGGAGATAATGATAAGACTAGTTAGATTTCCCCTCAAGAAACCCAAAAGCATTATTTATGAAGACAATATATGTCTTTCAACTATTATTTTGTATATATTCAAATCCATTAGAGGAAAAATAAACAGGCGTATAGATAAATATATAGTACAGATTATTTGAACTTAATGCCTATTTCAATTTATGTCTGAAAGTTACGTGGCTTTTTGTTACCAGTATATGACACCAGCGCGTATTGGGAGTAACTGTTGTATGTTGGTCAGGTCATCTAAATGACTGTAACCACTCAACCATATCAGTGATTAGCGAGGTCACTAGCTGTAGTTTCGTAATATCACCTCCTTTTAAAATGAAGTGAAATACTAAGAGCAGGTATATTTTGTGACATTAACGGTGCAACGTCAAATGCTGTAAGGAATGACATCTTTTCTCGAAGAGGTAAGATCTTTTCCTTTATCGTATGATACAAATAATCGAAATGTCCTGTCTTTGTACCGCATATATCACTGTCATTAGACTTAGCTGTGCGTTTTGTTGATTTCTTGATAATCTGCTAGAATATATTTGTCTCCTAGCATGAGTTTTAACATCATCTTTATACAAATGTACTAATAAAGTTCCGTGTAGTTGTGTGATTTATCGCAGGAATTAAGAAAGTAAAGTGTATATGTCAATCTACATGTACTAGCTCAGACTTGCAATCTATCAATAACAGAAATCGTGTTTCAATCAGTCGATCATAAAGCTTTACGTTATATTTGTGTAAAACTGTCCGCCTGTATGTACCTCCGATTGTACATTGGTTTATTCGACATGCAAATTATCTAAAGTGGACATTATAGTGTAAATCTGCTCAAGTTATTATTGTTCGCAGTCTGAACAGGAAATATTGATGTCGTATAACTGTCACTGTCATTTGAACAGTATTTAATAGACAGAACAGGAACAAATTATATATTAACGCTGAAATCCATACTAAGGTTTTACGACGGAAATAACATCAATGTTTTCGTGAAGGTAATCCTCTTCCCTCTTCTGTGCTGTGGTCGATACCTCATGTGAATCTAGATCATATCCACAGAATGACCTGTCAGCAAGGATAAAGCATTAATTGGTATTTATTTGCAGTAAGAAATGGCTGGAGTCGACTTCCCTATGTTTATGGAACGTCTTCTCGTATCTGTGGTAGTAATGATCTCTAGAGGTAAGCTGGGATAATCGCAAAGATTGCTTAAACTAAATCCTGTAATTAGTGATACTATTTCATTTATATGCTTTTTCGAATACTTCACGAAATTGGTTTATTACTTATAAAATACCCCATGATCATGCAACCCAGTCGTTTTCCACATGTGTACTGAACTGGTGTCGACGGTTCTCATGAAGTTAATAATCAAAGTTGTGACAATACCATCCATACACTTATACCCAAGCGAAATAGCAAGGTAAATACTTCGTCTATAGGATTTAAGTTTAAGCTGAAATTGTAGTATGTTGCACTATAGAGTAAAACAGTGACAAGATTAGATTTCTTTAAGTATCACATTTAAGTGGATTTTATGTTAGGTTCTCAATACCATTTTGTTGACACTTCTTTGGGGGCTTTGTGATTATCGTTACACTTTGTAGGAAAATTACATAATATATAAGATACTTCTTTAGTAGTTATATGTAACTTAGCGTTGTTTTAAATAGGAAGGTAACTGCCAGTACATAAGAATGTTGATTAAGGTAAACCATTATTACGTAAACATTATCATTTTCATCTGTTTTAACTGAATAGCAATAAAGAAAAAAGAATCAGTTGTTACTTTAAAAGGCATTTAAAATTTGTCATGTAACGGTAAATACCAGCTGAGAACAATTAGAGCTGACAACAAAGGGCGTTGATATTAACAATGGTAGCGTACGTATGTTTGGCGTGACGAGTGTCCTTGGTACATACCTATATACCACACATACATACATACATACATACATACATACATACATACATACATACATACATACATGTTTGTCCGTGCTATCTAATATTATCATCAACAGCTCCTATAAAAATATATACTGAAATCAATCAAAACACAGTTTTCGAAACCGAGATACTGTCAGGAGTAGACAACATGAAAAAGAGTGTTAACCATGCATGTGATTTGTAATTCTCTGTAATATATATTCAGATTAATATGGTTCTTTTTTGTTTATCATCAGTTATTTTCTATGTTTTCTACAAGGTACATAACTGTAAAGGCAGTAAATATGTTTATGATCTGATGATTATTGATATGGTACTAATTATTTACATTTACCATTTCTTTTTTCAGCTATGTGTAATAGTTGTACTACGCAGCATTTAGTGGCAACACAGGAAGCAACGAATTTATATTCGCCTTCCTATGGATCCTACCCGAAGTAAGTATAAACAAAACAACGAAAGTGAATCAATTGAGCCATGTAGTTGTATCTAAATAACATAAAATCTGTTGATATAATTTGATTGTTTTGTACATCATTATAAACCTTATTATACATATATTCATTAATAGTAATATGATAAATTTTGGCTCTGATTTTATAACATACAAGTGCTGACGATTTATTTTACAGTGCGAAGGAATATAGCTTGTTTGAATAGTATTTGATATGTGTAAAGTTATAGAATATTTTTCTCCTTTTAAATGGACATGAACTACCTGGTGCTGTAGTACATGTAACAATTAATCAAATTACCATACTTATCCTTATCGGTAAAGCTATTTCTGGATGGCAACAGTTCTGCATCCGAAGTCACTTTCATTTCCTGTCGTAAGCGTCATTGTCTAAGGTGTTTACATGCCGTAATTGATTCAAAATTCTACGGTATGTTCCAAACATCAAGATATGAAGCTGGACGTGTTTAATGATCGTTAGTTTGCCTGTTGGTTCCGTTATTGTAGACATTGTTCTCATTTGAGAACATGACATTACGTACTTGGATTGACAAAAAATTACTGGTTGGTATCGTCGATAAAGCGAATTAACTTCCTTCCGGAACATTTGGTCTAATTCTCCATATACTCTCTCGGGATTCTCTGTGTAAATTCTTTTTTGTTCTTATTTCACTATACTGTATCGAATTATTTGTGATCGAATAAAGACAATGCATATATGTCGACATTTTCTTTGTTGTTTAATATGCGTTTCAGAAGTAAGCATTATAATCAAAGCCATACGTTTATCACCTATTCCACAGAATGTCCGATTTCTGCTAGCTGCGAGATAACTCTTCCTCATATACTTCAAATGGTGACCCCATTGTTGTAAGGGATGGGTTAATTCTATCTCAAACGTGGTAGGTAAAAGACAGCTGGCAAGCGCTATACAACCATGTACCAAATTAATAACGTCATCAATCGGGAGGCATTTTTATTGGGCATTAATTATGGTGCGATGAATAAATTTCGCAAAAACTTACCAATTTGTTACCTTTATAGGTACGTGAAAAAAACCCAATTAACCATAGGTCTGTTCAGTAGGTAGTCATATCTCAAGCATTATGTAAGAATTCTGCTAGTCAGCACTCGGTAAGAATTCTGCTGACAAGCCAAACTCGTGCAGAATGAGAAAGTCATGAGCAACAGACCCGTGTAAGATTATCTTATTCTCACACGAGCTAGGAAAAGACTGGATAACACCATTACTTTCAACACACGATTCATGCGTCACTAATGATGGCGCGATGATCACGATACACAACAGCACTTCATATCTCACGACTTCACACGTAAGTATGTGAGAAAAACAATCAAACATGGTCTGCTCGATGGATAGGGATATGTGAACCCTCGTGTAAGCGATAGACTGACAACCACTAAGATGTATATATCCCTGTCTACAGATATTACATTAACTTATCATACCTTCATCATAAACATTACTTATTGAAAATGAAATGTTTGGACTCCTTTCTTTGTTTTTTCAGTAATATGGATTGTACATGGAAAATAAGTTCAGCATTACACGACGGTAATATTCAGATCGATATCGAGCATATGTCACTACAAACAGACAATGGGGGCTGTGTTGATTATCTACAAATATTTGACGGTCAGTTCTAAATCATTGTTTTTAATTTCGCTTTCCCTAAACTACTGATTGTGGAGGATGGTCTATTTATATACTTATGTAAAGTTGAATAAAATGCCAAATAAGCATACAAAGAAATATAAGTATATTATAATAAAATCTCAGGACAGAAATATCTTCAATGGTGAAACATCCAGTTCTGCTCATTTCAACTGTCCTCTCTTTGCTATACTTCAGTTCTGTTAACCCGGTGTCCTTCATATACAGATTATATTACATTAATATTGTTGTATAGACAATATATCATTATATTTGGCATTATGATGTTCCTTTTCTTGTCTAATAAGTCAATTACCAGAGGTATTGTCATTTTCTGTCTGCATATGGTCGTTCTGTTCATTTTTGTCAGTTATTGACCAATTGCAGCAACCTGTTATGTATCAATTGTTCGTGTAAAAATCATGTAATGACATTTTTGTCACAGGTGATAATATCGACAGCAAATCGCTGGGAAGGCTTTGTAAATCGACGCAGACTTTCGTAAGCAGTAGCAATTACGTTTATCTACGTTTTTATACAGACTCGTCTGAGACAGATGTTGGATTTAAACTGAAATACTACCAGCTGGAGGAAGAGGGTAAGTAGCTAATTAATGAGGCTAATAAAGATTGCTCAGATATAAAAGTAACGTTCTTACTTACTTCAAAAGCACGTGTATCCACTAATTGATTTGGTATGAGGTTGTGTTAAACACCTACCACGTGTCGTCAATTTCATAGTGATGTATTAGATATGTGTGAGGAGACATTACATTGTCGCATTATTAGCAGACCTGGATCAGAACACTCGATACAAGATTGTACAAAAAATACAAAAGTGAATATCATCTTTTAATACAAATTTAGAGCTAGATAAATTAGAGCCAGGACATTAATTAAATGACATTAAACAACTGTTTCGTCAGTGATGCTAAGGGTTGAAGTGTTGAAGACCAGGATGCAAATGAAGAAAATTCGAAGTGATCGACAGAAAATTAAAAATCTAGATGGTGTGGTGCACTATACCCATAATTTTTTAAAAGAAATCACTTAGGATCCATGGAGCCTGTCTATTTGTCGATTACACATACAGTATAACTGTACTGAACATTTGGTATCATCCGTGATAGTAAGGCCAGATGGGCATGTCACAATCAACTGCCTATGGATTCTATCTTGGGGATTAGAAATAAAAAATGAAATTAAAAATGTTTCTGTCCTTGGGGTCATCGGGCCAAAAGTTAAAAGATCCTTTTTTTTTATTTTCCTCAGTCGTCTCCTCCGCCATTAGCAACCCAGATGGACGAAACAGCTGTATAATGCAGTTTAATGAGTTATTTGGCTCAATTATATTTACCTTAATTTTTTTCAAAAGGTGATATTAACAGCTGCTATGCGTTTGGAAGACATAGGGTTAGAACCCTCAATAAAAATGATGTTACTCGTATCTAACCTGGGGCATTGATATATAACAAATCTCTTTTCTTTGCTACATTGTACAACTATATGCATACCTTTCATAGAATGACTTACAGAAGTTTAAGATTGAGTTTCTTACTTGCAGACAATAGCTGGAAAACAGTGCTATCGATCGTTATTGTCGTCACTGTAATAGCAATGATGCTGAGCTGTTGTTATAAAAGATTTCATAAACGTCTTCGAAACCATCATCGATCGGTAGTGGATCCGGATAGTGAGACAACGGGACACTCGGGTACCGAAAGGAGTCAATCCTGTGTGTGGGCAACCAGCAGTGGACAAAGAGAGAGGAACAATGAATTCACTAGCTCTGAAAATATGCATCCATCGGAACCCGTTAAACCCCCAGCCTATTCCGAAATAGATACAAATTCTGGTAAATTACCATCATATGATGAATTAATTAACGACGAGGAACCTGTATGCGAGCGGACTCCCCCGCCGTTATATACTGAGGGAAGTCAAACTGATCGACTGTTTAGTCAATCGGCAGGGTATTCCTATACGTATTCAGTGACATCAAGCTCTACATCTTCTTTATCATCTGTATCGACA